ATATATATATATATATATATATATATATATATATATATAAAGAAATTCACAAAGAACAAATATGTTAACCTATTAGAATACAAAATAGGCCTACATGTGCTTTCAGGTACAATCAATTTTTATTTTTTTTGCTTTTAAAGCATTTTTTTAAGGCTTTTAAAAACATTTAAACCAATGTGGAATCAGAAGACCTAGTATGTGTGGCTGCGTATGTCTGTGCCACACTATATATGATCTGACCCGCTGCCACAATCCAGAAATTTCACCGTATGCTCCATCAGTCGCCAACATAGGCATGATATACACACTGATTTTAAGAAGATGTAACCTTGCCGAGGATCAGCGTTCCCCAGATGAACAATTCTCCGATTTAGCCAGTAGGAGGCACCCTGGGTAAATGTTTATTTCCTTATGTGAGGTTGACCAGTTGCAGCACTGCATGTTTTTAGTCAATAGTGAATTGACCCACACTGTCAGAAAAAAAGTTCCACTTTGTACCTTTGAGGGTACAATTACTTGTCGCTGGGGCTGTACCCTAGCTGTAGGTACTCAGAACTCTAAGGAACATTTTGTACTATTGGTGGTACATTAATGTTTTTTGTACCTTAGGGGAAAAGGGTTGTACCCTTTATTGTGCAGTGCACCAGGTAATGTTTCACGAGCTACCATTCATAATTAAAAGGACTTTACAGATAAGTTTAAACATGAGATAGAAAAACCCTCTCGGGCCTTTGAAGACTCAAACTGCTCATCCCTGCTTTATTTAAGCCAATTATGCAGTAATATACTGTTGTTTTCCAGCACTGCAGTTTTATGGGTATTTCCCCAACCCTGAACTCTTAATTGGTTTTTCTGAATTGTTGAGTCCACATCCGGTCAAGGGCGTTCCTGCTTCTTCCCTGCCCTCCCAGATCAGCCTCCCAATCTACTATTTAAAGTGTAAATTAGCTGCAAACGAAATGCCTTCTAAAGCTTGCAAACTTGAGGTCTAGAGCTTTGATAATAAGAATTATGCAATGGTAATGATAATGATGATAATGATGATGATGATAATTTAAGTCTGTATTTCTTATTTACTGCATGTTAAACAGATGTTATCTCTGTCGCATGATGAATGGCTTTCCGTGTTGTTATAAAAACGACATGTACTTTATCATGCATCCATTTTGCAGAGCACGAATCAACGTGAGCAGCGCATATGCAAATATAATACAAAAAAAATGCAAATAGGTCGAGATTCCTTATAATGATTTGTTATACAATGGTGAGATTGGGCATCCGGAGCCATTCTCTCGCATCATTTTCACAGATCACATATCGGAACCCTGTTCTAAAAATCAACCCATTCGGTCTCCTTGTAGGAATGCAATTATAGGGACCGGTACAACTGGGGGTTGAGAAAAATGGGCGGAACTAAGGGAGCGGTCCTTGAGGGTTATCTGTCGGCAACCAATTCCCTCCGCCTCCAGTCAAGGCGATCCCTCCGGTCGCTGATCGCTCTGCGGGATCCCCGGCGCAGTGCATGCAGCAAAGCGGACCCTGCGGACTCCCGGGATCACGCCAGGTGGACGATCCAGAAAGAGCAGGTTGGCCGCTTCTCTTGTAGACGCACAGCCGCAAATTCAACCTGTGAGAAACGCTGATGCGCGTCTCGACTTTCCTCTTGGCTCTCACATTCAGCTCTTTTTCCACAGAAGTTGCTGAACAGCTCTGTGTTCTCTAAAACGCGACATTGCATACGCGGTGTAATTTAATTTATCGTTAATTTAAGACACTTGAATTTTCTAGTTTTATGAGGTGTATAGCACAAAGTCGTTGTGGTTGAGTGGGAGTTGTGTAGTCTCTGTGTAATTTGGAAAATAAGGTGTGTTTTGGAAATATGCTTACGTTATAGTGTGTTTGAACTTGATGCATATGATAAATGTGCTTGTGCTAGTTAATTATACAAATGAAAAGGCATCGTGTTGACAAAATAAATAAAAACCGATTTTCTTGTTCTTTGCTAACGTACTACATCTACAGCTCTGTAATATAGCCTATTAGTTTACTTGAGTTTGGACACCGGACAAACTGGTCTTCCTAACATGTATCAATGAGTCAAAATGAAACGAAGTAGACATGCTGCGATTTGTTTGCAGGGTCATCGTGTAATTGGGAATGTAGTAATGGGGGTCTTTCTTTGTGTCTCCAAGCTGATAGACGTTTTTTTTTTGGCAGTGAATCGCATTCCTGTCATCCCTTTTCGTATGACGGATCGATAGAGATCAGGCATGAAGAGGCGACATGCCCGCTGTCATGCACAGGGGGGAACAATCTCCACAAGAGCACTTTTACTGTTTGCTGTTTGATACCGGCGCACCTGCGGCTAAATCTGCCGCGCGTTCACCGGACACATCCCCCCTCGGAGACATTACTGTACAGCGGGCTATTGGTGGCGCCTATTCGCCCCTCACTCGCTTCATGAATTAAGATTTTGATGGATACCGTCATGTAACAATGAAACACTGAAAGCACAGCGAAGGCATGTATTTCAGTTTTTTACGAATTTAGGCCTACATCTTCTGCTGCTGCTGATTATTATTATATTTATTATTACTATATTTATTATGATTATTATCTGCTATCGTGTGCACAATAATAGATCGGCTAGCCTATGATTATCCAAATCGATCTCTACAGCTTTCACCCCAATAGCTATATTTCTCCTTAAGCATTTTGCTTCTTCTTTTTAGGCTACACATTAGTTCACCCTTGGCATTTAAATCTGAGATCTCCTCATGATTGGCATCAGTCTGGTCAAAGTATGAGAGTGAGAGTCCGGCTCCTGTAACCGGCACCGAAATCACGCGGAGGGCCAGTGACACGCGGCGTCTTAACGCCAAGCCATGAAGCTCGCAATATTGCTCCACAGGCGGACAGCTGAAGCTCCAGAGATTCATTAATCACATTTTTTTCCCCTGCCCCGATCTCTCATTTCAGGACGGCGGACAGCTGTTTTTATTTACTGTGTAAATCGGGCTGATCATGTCGGAGTCAGGGGTGACACCACAGGGTGACAGGAGGCAGGACCATATCGTCAACGCCGACGGACAGCGCCTTTTCTGCCGCTCCTGGGTACCGGAGGTACCCCCGAGGTTAGTGAGCTCAGATATAAAAGCTGGGTTATGGATATCAAAGCATGCCGGCAGCTTTAAAAATGCGATCCATTGAAATGTACTGAAGCTCTACACCTAACAGCTTGTAGTAAGAACTGTTTTATATTCCCCATTAATTGATTTAAAAAAAGAAAACGTATGTGACCGAAGTCCCATGATTGAACTTGAACTGAATTGATATTTCAGATATCTGTTCGTAATTCCAAAAGGTTACTTTATGGATGTGACTTTATTTTTTACTTTATTTTCGCCACATCAATATGTATGCACAGCTCTATATAAATATAATGGGAGAGGCAGGGAAAATGTCGCAGCGTTTGTATGACCATGTGGGTGAGTTTTTATGTCAGTCCCGGAAGTCTGAGTCCTCTTTGCTGCTCCCAAATGTTTAATTGGAGCGTGACTGTAAACAGCATGTCCCGGGCTTCCTTCGAAGCATACGGGGCGTCTGCGGTTCACTGCTGGGACAGTAAAAAGAGCGCAGTGCCGTGTCTCCTGGCTCATTTGTGCAGTCTGGGAGCTGATGGTCAGTGTGCAAATAGTCACTGTACTAACAGATTCCCAGCAGTTGTGCTGACAGTCCGCGTGCGTAAAGTTGGCATATTCATAGTCATCGTACTGTAAACAGCCGGCGCGTTTATAGTTTACAGTAAAGGTTTTTTATGTCCAGGAGTATTAACTGCTTTATGGGACTTATATAGGCACTACAAACATGTAAGCAGTTATAGAGAATATGCTTTACAGTTACGATCAGAAAAAAATCCAAACAGAGCAGTCTTTGTCCCCCTAGGGGTGACAGAGGTGCAGTGTGTCTCTGTACTCAGTTGACCATGCCAGTGGAGCTTAATCCAGTGGAGGCACCAACCGGGCTCAGTGGACCATTGGATTCCTGATCTGACTGTGAAGCAGATATGCAGTGTGGCCCACGGGGTGTGTGTTTGGGATGGCCAGCCAGCGAGTGCCTGAGGGAGGGTGTGAGTGAATATGTGAATTATCTAAGCATGTGAATGGGGGGGGGGGGTATGGTGCGTGTGCCTGAGTGATTGTGTGGGCTAGCGGGGCTGCGTGAGTGTGTCGTTCAGGGGGTGAGTGACTGTCTCCCAGCATCCCAGTGACTCAGTGAGTGAGAGGGTGCATGTGTTTGAGGAGGTGTGTACGGGAGGGTGAGGATGTGTGTGTGAGTGTACGTGACGAGGCCGGGGCTCCGCGCTGCCCTGTAAACATTCCCGCAGCACAAAGCCGCGCTCAGAGAAGCCTCATTCAGCTCCATTCAGAGCCGCCAAGCCCGCGCCAGCAGTCAGGATGTCCTAGTGGCCGAACAGCAGAGGCTATAGCCGAGTGGAACAAAGAGTGTCCCCCCCCCCCCCCCAAAACTGCCTGAGGGGGAGACGGCTACATCGCTCTGCATGTTTAGCACCCAGGGCTTCAGCGGAGGGAAAGGCCAGCATCTTTCACTCCGCGGTATTCATAGGCCTCAGTGAAAGCTCTCAAATTGACAGCCAGACACAGGCAGAGATGTATGCTGCTAAATAGGACAGTTTGTCTAACCAGAGTCGTCATGGCAACAAATCACTTCCTGCTGCAGAGCATGTCAAACTGTTTTCATGATGAGTGCATGTGCGCGACTGTACGCATCTGCGTGCCTGTTCTTTTTTTAATTTTATCTTTTTATTGTCTTCCCCTGTTTGTGCTCAGAGGGGAAACCAGTTGTTTTTGATAGTCGCGGACATGCTGAAGATTTATTTTCTTATTTCGGACGTGATAAGAGAATGACCTAATCGTCTTTCCTAGTTTGTGGATTCGGTCGGCCTGCCAGCGAATTACCAGCCTGCGTGGGTCATGGCGGCGCGGGTGAGGGAGTGAGAGAGTGAGAGATGAGAGAGCACAAGTGTGCTTGTGGGTGGAGTTCCTGTAAATGGTTTTCAACAGTGTGCTTGATTGTGTTCAGCGGACTGATTCTACTCTGATTCCATTAACCCTCACGGTGCCAAAATGCCCGTCTCCACTAAGGTCTTTGTGCTTACGGGACCTGGTTCGGTGTGATGGCATTGATCGTGGCATCAAGGACTCTTTTTTTTGCACAAATACCACCCAGCACTTCCACACACCCTGGCCAACCCACCAATACAGGATAAGCAGATATATGGGCGATTGGCAGTACCAGTCCAAGCCCTTGTGGCACCCTAGGCAAGCTTCACCGCCAGTGCCCCCCTTTCTGGCCAAAAGGTGGCACACTAGGTGGCTGCTTATGTCGCTTAGTGGCTTGACTGACACTGGCAATTGTAAGATAAGATGACAAGATAAAAAAATTCTTGTGCATACAGCAGCAAGGTATGTAGGGTACAGACAAACAAACATATAATGCAATACAGACAAAGTGAATATACAGATTAAATAAAGTAAAAAGAACATAATACACAAACAGAACATATATTCTGAAAAATGAACTATCAAGGAAATTAATATAAATAAAAATAAATAAGCTGATACTTTATGTTTAAGTGGATAACAGCATCTGACCTGATTGTGCGTTTATGTGTATGCAGGTGTGGCCACACGCATGTGCTTTATATGTATAACTGTGGCTTCTCTGCTCTCTTCCAGAGGTCTGTTGTTTGTGGCCCATGGAGTAGGGGAGCACTGCGGGAGGTACAGCTCTCTGGCCCAGAGCCTCAGCCGAAGGGGCCTGATGGTCTTCGCACATGACCACGGTGACTGACCTCACTTCCTGTCAGTCACGTCTCCACGTGACCTTGAGGATTGTACGCGGTTCAGCATAAACATTCAGTTTACGCAGTCTGCGGTATTAGCACAAGTAGTGTGTTCGTTTGAATGTAGGACAGCTGTAGCTGGAGTTGAGTTTACTGAGTTATAAATAGAACGTCTGGAGCAATGGGACTTTAATAAAATACCCACAGAGAGACACATAGAAAGACAGACAGGCGGACATATATATAGACAGGCAGACAAACATAGACAGACAGGCAGAGAGACAGGCAGACATACAGACTGATAGGCAAACAAGTAAACAGACAGACACATACACAGACAAGCAGACAGACAGTCAGACTTATGGATAGACAGACAGACAGAAGGGCAGACAAGCAGACAGACAGGCAGACAGACAGAAACGCATATACATACATGTCTGTCATGAATTGACCTAGTGTGTGCAGAAATACACTGTTTTAGTTGTTTCCTGTTTCATTTTGACAGACTAAAAATATATCACTTCCCTTGTTCTCCTCTCTCTCTCCCTCATTTCTCTTTTCATCCCTCTCTTTGCCTTCCTCACTTCCTTTCTGCCTCAACCGTTATTCTTCTCCTCTTTCCCCCATCTCCTTCTTTCCTTCCTTCCTGCCTTTCTGTTTTTCTCCATTCACTCCCCCCCCCC